TTTGCAAAATTGTACTCTTAGCGGCCAGCCTCGATTAACGATCTATACACATCACTTTGATCTTAGTATCATTTGCAAACCAAGTGCTACACAAGACGGTGGTGAGTTATAATTACTTATTTATTTTTGAACAGGTTTAGATAAAAGCTAACACGTACCCTTAAATCTGTCGCTGAATCAGGTGTAGGAAACTGTCTAAAAACTTCGGCGAAGTTTGTGTGTTATATATAACAACTATCAGTATTTTATTAGAGTTCTTGAAATTGTACGTGAGGATGTCTACATTCATGTCCGTTTAAAATTTTGTCAGTGGCGTCTTGGAACCTGCCTTGGGGGAGGGGAGAGGGGCACCTCATTATCCGAAAATTCAGGCTTCAGTGACTAAGGTCGTTATAAATGTGATATATGCATTATTGACCAAGCGTGAGGTCAAAATGTGTGTATGGCCCAATAAGCGGTCCTGTGTGGATTACCAATCTTCAATGCTCTGGAAGTGAAGCTAACATAATGAGCTGCCTTCATGATGGGATCGGTAACAAGTCTGAATCACAAAGGCGACGGAACGTTGCTAGTATTATATGCAAGAGTTTGTCCCACGCGAATGGTAAGTTTAGGTTTATGCGCTATTTAAGTATATAAATTGCTCCAGCCGTGCCTTTCAAGTTTGCCTAAAATAACGTAACTTCAACAGACCAGCAGCCAAGGTATGCGAACATAACTTGTGGCGGAATTTATCATAGCCATACTGACGGAGGATAAGTGTTTTTAGAGCTCTTACTGGGCACGGAATCTTTAAACCTTTAGGTTTTCTATCGATATACTGGTACTGAAAAATGTGTTTCTTTAATTTTACGCCAATGCAATTCATATCAGTGATCATTAGTTGGTTGCACAATATGTCAGTGAGCCACTTTGTTACACTGAGGATTGTTGCCCTTATGGGAATATTTAACCCCTCTAATTGTGAACAAAAGAGCCACCGAGCAGAATAAACTTCATTTAACTCAGGCATAGGGTAAAATGGGGTTTGGTTTTTGTATGCATGATAAAACTCTTCAGTTATCAGTTAATGTGAATTACACTATAAAAAGATTTGGAAGCTGACGTGTCGAGGATTAGCCCTTCGTTAGAGAGATCCTGACATAGAGCTCAGCTTACTCTCTGTGGTAGCCAATTTAAATGCAAACAGAGAATCAAACCAAGTGGCTGACCTACACTGCCTATATTTACTGTAATAAGTGACAAGGGTTTGCTATGAGATTTCACTTTTCTTGTCACCAACAATGTTAATTCCATTTTATGTGAAAGCCGTAGTTCCTGACCTCGCGAAATAATAGATCCGCCAAGCGTGACAAATTTCCTTGTAACTGAGACTCTAGAAAACAAACTGGGTTGGTGACATGTCTGGATATGTCTACCTCCTTCACTAGCGCTGAACCACGCGTAGCACTCTCTAAACCGTATTGTTCTCTCTTTTTCTGTTAAGATTCAAAATGTCGTCCGTTCTATTTTGTTGTAACTGGAGGTTTATTAACTGCTCGTAGTAGACGGTAAGTTACATGTGCGACAACATCATGATCCTAAAACACGTAACGAACAGGGGATCAAAATGTTTGGAATTTCCTTTCATAAGGTCNTGTCGTGATTGTGTATACAAATCTCGTCAGTGTCCTTTAAATTTCCATGGCAAGGGGAAGGAAATGAGTTGTTTTTAAATATATATATATACAATTCTCGTGTTTCGTGATGATTTTAGATACACTTGAAAAGAAGATCACCGACATGGTTCCACAGCGTAACCAGCTTGTCTTTGTCATTGCGATCTTAATGCTCTGTGTGAGATCTGTCGAAAATATTGAGTCATGTCAGAAAATGACGATCAAAAACTGTGCTTCAAATTTTCATGAAATTTTCCAGGCCCTGGAGGAAAGGAACCCAGATCAGCTGTTTCAAAATTGCGCGGAAGTGCAGGTATTTCACGAAACAATAACAATTTTTTGCAGGACAATTTTTCCGTATTGTAATGTATTTTTTATCTATTTAACCCTACTTATGACCAAACGCAGTATTCAGGCAATTCATTGCCATGAAAACCTTTAGATTTGCATGAATTTATCATTAAATCAGCTAATCGAGTTAGCAATGATAATTTCTCAGTAAACTCCTAGATCTGACGCACCTCTTTTACTCACAATAAAAGTTCGAGGACCTAGTTTATAAGACAAGATTACGAGGAAGGTTGCGGAGGAAAGTTTCAAATGTTAAAGCGTACGTTTACACTTGTTTCGTTGTAGAAATCTGTTGACTGCCTGTCTGTTCCCCGCTGTTCTGGAGACCTCCTTACTTCGTACCGTTCACTCTTGATTATGACAGCGACTTTGATAAAACAGAGCAACTTGTGTCCAAGCCTGAACTACGCTGGGTTAAAACGATACATGACAGGTTAAGTATTGCTCATCGTTTTAGTTTAGTTGTTGAGACCTGAGTAAGGGGAGGACGCCTGAAAACACCGGGCATGATTGGTTAGTGCATTCAACACCAGGGGGTCATTGTGATGTGTTCTTAGGCAAGTCATGATGTCATTCGCATAGTGCCACTCTCTACCCGTACCTTTCGGGATATGAATAGGTCTTGCGTGACTGTCACAGAAACTTGACAGGGTGTTGAGATCAAGGGCGTAGCTAGGGGGTCCTGGAGGGTCCTGGAGGGTCCTGGAGGGTCCTGGGGTGTCATGAGGGGGCCTTTTTAGTCACATTAGGTAACACGGCTTATGGTTCAATATACACGATTTAACAATCTGGTGTGTGCCTTCTGTTTGACAGTGACCCCACGCTTTTAGAAAGCTTAGCTTCTCCGACTGGGGATGGACTTGGTCGATAGGAGTCGAGTATTACTTATTAACCTAATTTTTTTTGTGAGCCACCACAAATGAAATTCAATTCCTTAATCAACCTTTTACAGAATCATCGGGTGACAGCCAAGAAGATGCGGAAAAAGTGGAAGTCAAAGTACACTTTAAGTCAAACAGAAGTTTAGAAAAAACAAAACAAAACAAAAAAAAACGACTTGTTTCCTCTTTATAACTTTCTTGCCGTTCAGAAATGCTTAAAAGAAATATTATTAAGAATTTGTGAAATAAAAGAAGTTGCACTGTAACACTTGTACCGGCGTGTGGTCATTCATGATCATTTCATAAGCAGTTGCACTCAAATAAAAATAAAAAAAAAATAAAAAAATACAGAGAAGAGAAACGTGAAGTCGAAACATAATAGAGCTCTTTCCACATGAACATTTATGAAACGACCACAAGCGCATTTTATCCTGAGAAGCAGCTCACTGGAGGATGGAGGAACAGAAAAAATAGGAAAATCGAACAAACATATTGATTTTACTAATTGTGTGGTTTACAGGTGCTAAGCCTGGGAGGACTGTGACTAGTTGTGTGGTTTACAGGTGCTAAGCCTGGGATGTCTGTGACTGTTCCAGTTCCCTCCTCACTAATATCTAGGTCGGGGTCTAATTGACGACAAAAAGGCGAATATAGCCAATATTTATTGTATGAAAGTACATCCAAGATGCTGACAACCCAAGAAGACCACATTAACCTGACAAATTAATTAAGTCATTTCTAATCTTCCTTTGGCCAAAAAAATGAAGACCACCACAATCCCACTCCAAAGGGTTTGAATACAAGCATTAGTCCACAGGATCATATATATATATATACATATATATCAGCCCATTTTGGAAAGGGGAGATGAGTTTTTGGTTGACTAAATGTGTAAGGAGATTACCCAAAACAATAAATTAGCCCCAATCCTCAAATATTTTGCTGATGAAATATCAAATTCTATGAACAACAGCAAAACCCAAAGAATAAAAATTGAGAGTTCACTTTCAGGAGTGCCCCCTTAAAAAAAAAAAATTGATTTCTCCTTCCCACTCCTAAACGAGAAGCTTACATTCAAATCCTCGCTGGAGTCATTTATTCTATGCTGTGCTTCTGAACAAGACTGTCAAGCGGTGGCTTGGTGGCTCCATGCAACAGAAACCCAGAGATCAGTCCCAGCAGTTACAAATATGGGCTACAAGGCCCCTACGACTATCATGTAAGTGGAGGGATTGAACTGAAAATACTCCAGGATGTAAAAATACAGCAAAAAATTCACAAAATTAAATTAGTTTTGGGTCCAAGCACTTTATTTGGACATTTGCTCTGACAGAGTCAAGAGAAAGCAAATTTTTATGTACAATATCAAATGACAAAAGTCATTCTTCTTTTTAAACATTTTGTGTTTTTTTGTTTGTTTTTCATGGTTGACAAGAAATAACCAATTCAAATTGCTCATTACAACTGATTTTCTTATCAACACCATTCATTTGCTCCACACTCCACATCACAATATTTACACCCACTCAATGACAACACTTGATCTTTGACAATGTGCAACTGTATAATCTATCAGACAACGGCTCCTGAAATAATCATCGCAGCTAACTATTAGATGTCCATCTCAAACTGGGTGGGTACCTCTCCTGAAAAAAGAGGTAAAAAAGAAAAATGGTTCTTACAACTCTTTTGCTGTTTGTTTGATTTTACCCTTCAATCCCTGGGAGTGACTAAGATCTAATTTCTCCCAACAATACAACCCCTGAATCACACATTAAGTTCACAAGAATAAAGGACGTGACCACCAACCAAAGAAGCTCCTGATTGTTGAACAAATTCTCCTTGTCAACAGCTTAGAAAATGTGCAAATAAACGGTGAGGAGAATATGCATACAAATGTTCGGATGCAAAGGGTTTATGATTTTTCTGGGAAAGCTAAGAGCAACTGCCCTTTCCTTTTTGTTTTTCTCTTTTCTTTTTGAAATCTTAATTTTCAAAGTGAAGAAAGTGTAAGGACTAAATACGGTAAAGATGGGCCTCAATAGGTTATCTACAGCACCTAGGATTAACAACGCACAAATTACTGCAGTTACGAGTGTTTCTGCAGTAGACACACATGACAGTAGACATTGCACTGGTTCATTGCATATTGAACTTAGTAATTAGGCTTGCATGTGTACATTTACAGAAAGCAGTTTGAATTGTTAACTATGGGATGAAAAAATTAAAAGCTAAACCCAACTATTTAGTAAAAACAATTAAGGATGTGTTTCCTTACCATTGTCATTCTTGTCACACTCTGTTTCAGAGCCATGGATGCCATTGTCTTTGCGAACCCCTGGCTTCAACTTTGCATCACAAGTTACACCTGGTATCATTGGCAGATTCTGTGGAGGTGTGCGTGACAATGGAGAATTGCGCAATTCCAGTAGAAACTTGCGCTCATATATTATGCGTGTCCCTAAATAATTATAAAACAAGGCATTACTAAAAGTAAAATAAAACACCACAAATGATGAGATAAAAAGTAAAAAAGTTACACCATTCACACATGAACTAGACTCACCATTAAAAATAAAAGGGAAAAAAAAAAAAACAGCACCTAAGCTTTAAGGCAATTATTAATTTTTCTGGGTGACTTCAAAACTGTTTTAAACAAGATAAAAGAGTAGCCATCCACCACTTCAAGTCAGAGAGTGAATTAAGAAAGAGTGTTGGAACCTTATTTCCAGAGGTAATTTTTCTGGACAACTTCAAAATTGTCTTGCACAAGATAAAAGACCATCAGCCACTTCAAGTCAGAATGTGAATTAAGAACAAGTGTTGGAACCTTATCTCAAGAGGTAGAGCTAGTTCACTGTGGATTATGAGTAAGTTAACAGTTGATCTGCTTAAGGAAGCTGCCCACCACTCTAAAATTAAATAATTCTACTTAGATTTACTGATGAGAAACGTTGACAATAAAACAAGTATTTATGTGAACATATCATGCAACCACCTGTTAACAAGTTCCGTTAAAAGTTATCACAGAACCATTACCAAGCCAATTGTTACCAACAACTTCCCATTACACAAGTTCTCAACAGTTTCCAACACATGCACTAGGCAAGCTGTTAGCAAAAGGTTTCTCCTCAACCCATAGTATATTTGAAATTCCTCCAAAATTCATTACACCAGACCGCAAATACCATAGCAATATCAAGGAATCAAACATCTAAGTAAAGCTTAATTGAATGTAAGATCTAGGATGGTGTCATCTCCTAAGTTTGCAATATCTAAAGACAACACAAATTGTATAGCAAAGGCTGGATGTAAGCCAAGCACATCGCATATCAGGTAAAAGTTTCAATTTTTGCCCTTTTCACAGGTGAAAGTATGGCTACCGAAGTCATCTTATAACTTTGTTTTCACAACATGCTACTTTCAATGATGAAAAAGGAAGGCCTAGAACAAAAAAAAAAAACACCATACAAGCTGATTTGGACTAATAAAAAGGTAGCATTCAATGTTAGGCTTTGCAAGAAACTGATATAAAATCGCTCCCATTTAGGACATGAAGAGACCTGTCTAGGACACCTGAACAAACTTGCAGATATGAGCACAAATTAATTCTAGACTGCATACCACGCTTTGTTAAAAACCGTCATTTAAAGTCAATTTATGAAACTCCTTGACAGCAAAGTATGAACAGCTAGACAATTTTATGGCATTTTCAAGGGAACTATTTCCACATTTAAGTAAAACAGAAATATATATATAATAAAATAAAACAAGACACATGGTGTGAAGTTGGAATACAACCAGTTTTTAGAAGTACAGATGATGATCAACTCCCAAGAACAAATGAACTAGGGCATAACTTATTGTGCTTTTCATTGTTTGCAGACATGAGAACTTGATCCATTTGGAATTCAATCAGAGTAGCTTCGAAATGCAAATTAGATACGGAACCTTGAACTCAAGCTAAACACGTGGGTATTGTTTACATCATCAAAACAAAAAGAAGAGCCTCGTATAATGCGAACCACTGCAAAGCACGTCCAAACATAAACACAGGCCTGAAAAATGTTTTGGAAAGCATCTTTGGCTCAAAGAAAGAAAATTGGCGAAAGACGAAGAATGTTTCTCATTCATTATCTCAGACTGTTCTGCAATGATAGAAAAGATAGTGCGGCTCAAGAAAGTCACAGGAGAGTTATGACGACATCACAACAACAACCATTTACTTTTGTTTTCCGGTTTCTTCCCCTACGTGAGAGAATAAAATCATGCAGTAAAAAGAACCCGCTTAAGTTAAGGCATTCGACAACAAAATTTCAATACATCGGAAAATTTCCCCGAAATTATTTGAGCTTACGCCCATTAGAATGGGCGAATGTGAACGATGAAACGTACTGAAGGCTAGTTAAGCAAAACACGCACTTTTCAGTGTACAAGTACACGTACTATACCCTCTCGAAGCAAACACGTTTTAATGATTTAAAGAATAAACAATTGTCGATAAGGAGAGAAAAATTTCTCAAATCACAACAAACCTAGGCAGCAAGACAGCCAAATAACCCGTATGGGTCAAGCAAGGTCCCAGCAAACTAAAACGCTTGCGTTGCAGTTGCATGTCCATAAATTCCCAGCTACGCAGTAAACCATTAAGGCGTTTCTGAGAGCTCAAAACAAACTCAGAGCCGAAGGCTGCAATGAAAAACTTGGGGAATTTCGTCCATAATCGGCTTTACAGTGTATTCTTGCTTAATTCTGCATTAAAACATTCAATACAACGCTAAAACTCACCGCCGGGAGTCGTGGAAAATATCGTTCCTCCAGGAGTAGTGGAATAATCCATCGGTAGCTGACCTGGGTCGTTGACAACAATTCGTCTGGAAGGAATTGCTCTTGATTCCGAGGACAAAACTTCAGTTTTTGATGCTTCCATTGTGTGATGGTTTGGCCTCAATTTGTCTAAATTCCCTTCGTTCTAATGCACTCTCCCGCAAATGACTTTGCTTGTCCTTTTCAAACCTTCCAGCGAGTCACGAGATGTTCTTGCGCATGTTCAATACTCCGATTGCGTCATCTTTTCGTAAATCACGTGTTTCCGTCACAAACCGGATTCAAAAATCCCCAAATGCACGTACTATTTTTAGGAAATCTTCTCGACTTCCTTGTACGCGCATGCGACAACTTTTAATTTAAACCTTAAGGTAGAGTGAAAAGACAAAATAGTTACCAGAATATCGACTGATGATCAGATAATGAATCAAAAATAGAACTTTCATACAGTAACGCGTAAAGCTACAAGTCACACTTTACAATGTGCATACGGAAGTGAAAAATGCCAGTCTAGTTTAGAAATGGAAATTTATACCTCTAGAAATATCTAGAAATAACAACCGCAGAGTACAGTCTGGTTCTCAGCCGAAAATTGACAAAATTAATTAACTGAATTGATGGAAACTGTCTTTAAATAAAAGGTGTACTGCAGCGAAAAAAAGGCAACAAATATGGTTTCATTTACTCGAAGTTTATTGCGCCTCAGCATTTATCTCCAAGAGTGACAGCTGAATTAGATTTCACCTAAATTTGAAAGTGAAAGTCTCATAAATAATTTGTCTAAAATTTCTTCGTTACCTGACACTTCCTAAACAAGTCTGGGGTTATACATCTTCTTTTTCTTTCATTTTCACAGCAATCCCTATTTAAGTCGCGATCGCGGGTTTGAAGAACCCCATTTTGGACCCTTTGTAAACGCCGTGACGCAAGGACCTTGCGACAACAATCGATGCAATTGTGTACATAATCGTAATTAAATGCCCGTTGTATTGTTATCATGTGTTCGTGGGGCTTAAGGGAAGTCGCTGAGAGAAGTACTTCTGATTTGTTTCGAACTGAGCCACAGAAAAACAGTTTTCAATGTTGGGTGAACATTTACAACTCGAACCAAACTTACACCTTTCTCTCATTGTTTTCCAATGAAATGGCTTATCATGACGCGACAACAGAGGCCCGTTCATCCCACATCCTATCGACTACGTCTCTAAGCCTGCTTTTCATTCGATCGCTCTGATAGCTGCTACAGTTCTTACAAGTTCAAGAATGATAGCGACTGATACGATTGCAGTGACTGACCATACGAAAATCAGTCGTAATTTAGTTACTGGTGATAGAGATTTACACACGGCTTCAAAGTGTTTGAAATTTTTGAAGCTCATCTTTGAATAACACCTTCATTGAATTAACGAAATCATGTTCTATGAAATTAAACCAGTCAAAGGCTAGAACGACTTTGCTCTAAAGGTTGACTAGATGCACCAAGATATCCTCTTGTAAGGCAACACCGGAATGGTTCTAGACAGAGGTCAGAAGTCAAGGTACACAAAGCTCCCTTTCTCACACGCATAAACAAGTAAATGAGTCTTAGTGAAGCTGTATTACCAGTTAAAAAGCAATATTTTGCATGATACAGACTAACCGCCATTTCCAACTCTTTTTGCACCGTAGTAGCTCATCAAGATGGTTAAAAGTTATTTGTACATTCTCTCCTACTTGAAATCTACGTCATCTACTATTTATTGCTTTCAAGTTTTGACAATTGAAACGATCTTCAAAGTAAGGGGTTACTTCAAAGATAGGAAAGTGAAAGATGATAGGAGAAAGCCTTTTACAAGACATGTACAGTCGATTCTGTGATTAAGCGGTCACCCACGGCGACCATTTAAAGTACAGAATCTCGCTCGAAAATACCATTAATAATTATGATGTTAGGAGAGTAAAATGGCTAAAATTATTACTTGGTTTTATTTAAGTGATCCACGGTTCAATACAGGAGGGGGGCGTTGGGGCCTCTAGGAAACCACAAAACCAGAGAAAAAAACCTCCAACACCGAAAAACCGACGAAAAAAGGTAGCAAAACCGAAAACCGCATGCAAACCTAACAAACCCGCTACATTTTCACCTTTAAAGAGGTCAAAAAGGAAAAACCGAAAACCGCATCAGAGTTTTCGTGAAAACCGGCCTAATGCAAAAACACGTAAAATCCGCAAACCGCTTTGAACATCAAAACCGAAAAACCGAACCTTTTTGGCCCAAAAACCGAAAAACCGATCCAAAAAACAGTCAAAACCGCCAAACCGAAAATCCCAAAGCCCCCCTCATACAGGTGTAGGACAATACAATACCCCATTGCGACTGCTTAATAGAGGTCACCGCTTAATAGAGATGAAAATTACACTGATTAATATAGGTAATCGCATGGGCCGAGTAAAATAAACAAATGGTGTACGCCATAGCGTATACTATTGAGACATGGATGCACGCGGGAGGTTGCTAAGAACGAAAGAAGCGTAAGAGTCGCACGAGGCGATAGCCGAGTGCGACTCTAGCTTCTTGAGTGCTTAGCAAACCTCCCAAGTGCATCCATAACTCAATAGTACACGCTATGGCGTTCACCATTTGTTTTATAACATAACATTGATACATTGTAACAAGAGTTCCCTTTTATTTAACAAATCTTACGTGATCAGAAAAAACAAGCGCGCGCGGAAAAATAGTCTTCGCATTTGCTCACATTAGCAACATACACCGATAGGCAAATAATAGATGCTGAATTAACCAATCAGAGCGCGCGCTTTGCTTTAGTTATGTTAAATTAAGGATTAATATCATGCGTGTTTTCAGAAGTTGCTGAAATTGCCCGAGTCGAGAAGCAAAATACCCTCTTCATTGACCAATCAGCATTCAGTAATTTTACCCTCTATTTTATTAAGGGGGAAAACATGCAGGACTCTGACAACTGATCGCTTAATACGGTGCCGCTTAGTATAGTTTCGACTAAAGTTGGTTTTAAAAAAGACTTTGTCCTTCACAGCATTCCTCTTTGTTATCACAAACGCGACATGCCATTGGTTAAGTGGTGAATAATTTCAAACTCGCAGCTGGAGTTGAATAAGTAACCAAAAAGCAATTTTCTGGTCGATTAACATCGACAATCGAGTTTTCACCATCGAAGTGATGATCCAGGTGTGATTGGGAGGCAAAGCGATTTCGAGAAACTTCTTGTCAAACGGAAATGTGCATGATAACCTGATGGCAGTTACCTCTGAAACAGGCTGATAAATTTTGCTTGCGATAAGAAGGCTAGGTTATTGCAAAAGGCTGACTTTGAACGAAAGAGAGAAACTCCATATATTGATGAAGAGACTAAATCATAGAAAATGAAGCTATTAAATGATAGTTTTCAGGTTGGACACACCGGTAACCTGCCGAACTTTAATTGGTTGCCTAACGTTTTTCCTAAAAAGTTTGAAAGTGACTTAGAATTCTAAGCACTTGTCGTCTGAGATCGCGTATTCTCCAACAATAGACAATAGGATTTATCGCCGAATTAAAGAGTATGACGATATATGCAAAACTGATAACTAGAAAGGAGGTACTGTTAAGACCCACAAAGAAAATCAACATCAGCGCTAAGAAATATGGCACATAGCAAATCGATAGAACGCAATAAATTAAAAACATATTATTAACAGTCTTTTTATAGGCTGGGATGCTAAACATTTTCCTTCGGCTGGTCCTGAGTCGACTCTGTTGTTGAATCTGAGCTGTTTGTTTACGTAACCCAAAGAATATCCTCAGATAAAAGTAGAAAGTCGTCGTTGTACAGAGTACCGTCAAGACCGCTCCCACAATGAAATGAATGTTCCCACCAAGGGTCCACAACACAGCGAAGAAGATCCCTGTACCCCACAGTAAGCACAGCAGTACAACAACTCTCCTCAGTGTAACTAATTGCTGATATCTGATTCGAAGGCAAAATGCGAGATATCTGTCCAAAGCGATTGCAGGAGATGTCATAGTTGAAACTGAGGCCATGATGAAACCAGCCAAAGTCGTAGGTTGATACAATGCACAATACTGTGATGGGTTTTCTCGGATGACACCCAGAGTAAGAGCAAAGTGTAGTGGGGCAACTATTATCCCGACACCAAGATCAGAGAATGCCAAACTACTGAGGAGAGCTTTCGAGGGCGAGTGTATGGACTGATTCTTTCTTAGCGCAGTTAAGATCAGGATATTTCCAAGCGTTGCAAAAAAGAGGATAATGGCGTCTGTAACGCACATTAGGATAAACAAATCTTTTGAGAATTCTTTTAAAAATAAATAGCGGAGTAGATGAAATGAAGGACAGTCGAGTGTTGCGTTCATTGTCGCTCTGAAGAAGACTCACCCGAAGAAATGAATTCTAGAAGCTTTCAACAAACTCTATGGCTAAAAGCTTAATTGCAGGTGTTACTTCAAAACTAAAATTTCTCGTAAATGTCTTACAAAGCAAAAGGAAATTCAAGATTGGACCATAACAATGCTAATCGATGCACGTAATAAAGGTTTTGTTGTGGTATTGTTTAAACTAAATATCTAATTTTACACGTCCAATCGAGCGAGGACAGAAATTCGTGGGACTGTCCAACTTATATTCCTTTTAAGCTCGCCGCAAATGGCAGAAATGAAAAAAGAACTGAGTTGTTAAAAGGCGGTGACCTTACTGGCCTATACTGCTGGGAGGGCAGAAGTGCCCATGATTTTTTTCGCTTTCATGACATTATTTACAGAAGCGTTTTCGAATTTGTCATTAATTTCCCGCACTAACACACGCAAAAGTTAGAGGATGTTTACATCATAGACCTGTGGGTCCTGAGAATGTTTTCAATATGGGCCTCCACGAAATCTGACTTTGAACTCGGCGGCTAAATGAATGATTCGCCAAACATTTTTCCAATCGCATTCGATTTTTTTTAAAATCACAAAATTAAATCAGAACATGTAACATTGTAAAAGAATATTGACTTGTTTGCTGAAGTTGCCTCCAAAAGTGAAAGTAATCCGAATGGACAATTAAATTTCATCAAACAGACGCCGTTTCATTATTAACCTGCCTTCCACATTTGTTGCACTTCTACTTTAATGTTTTGATGTAAAGGATTATAATAGGAAAGACGCACGGAATAAAAGGAGGACGTTACTAAGCGAATATTACGGGCCGGGAAAACGTTTTAATTATGATGATTTCAAGGTTTTCGTTTTCTTGACCTTGTTCTGAGCGTCAGAAGATAAACGTAACACACTAATTATTTCTAAATGGAAAAAGACAATACGTATGTGTTAGTGACCATGCGTACAATCCAGATGGCTGGATATTGCCCGAGTTCTTTTTTTGCCTTTTTATTTTCATAACAACGGAAAAACAAGAACAAGACTTAAATCCAGCCATCTTGACTAAACAAGCTTAGTCGATAAAGGATTTACTCTATAGCGGAAAAATATTTCACTTTATTAAGAATCAAAAATGATATGATTATTTCGAGAGCCGGGAAAGAGAGCCAACTGTGTTTGCAGCACAAAAAGCCCATTAGAGTCGTTTATGTTTTCCTGGAATAAAGGCTGATAGTTTCTAAAGAAACTGTTTGGGGCTGCGTCGGTGGGGGTAACGAAATAATTTGAATAAATTAACAAAGTTGAAATGGTAAATTTGTCACCGTTAAGATTATAAAAGCTGACGTTTAGAGCGTTAGGACTTCGCCGGAGGGCTAACGCTCGAAACGTCACTTGGTGGCCAATTTACCATTTCAACTTTGTTGATATATTCAAATTATTATATTTTCCTTGTTTTGACTGTCTTTTGCCGCTTTTTGCGTCTTCTTCACCAACATTTTGTCAAAAGTGTGTACTTTTCTTTTTTCTTGGGCCGGTAGACGGGACAACGCGGGTAATCCCGAGCGGGCAAGATGGGCACAGCTCGCCCGCTCAACTGAGCCAATCAGGATTCGCTTCGTAATGCCCACGGGCGCTACCAGCGATATTATAGCACAGATTCCTGGTCTGTAATTGATTTTAATCCATTTGGAAGCATGGAGAGGATTACTCGATATACCATGTATGAACAATAATTTGTGACGGTGTTTCTCTTTGGACCAGACGTGCGCGAGGACCTTACACAAAGACGGTTATTTGTCGTACCTTCCAGTCGACTGCTGGGCTGGCGGCTTCTCCTATCAAATCTTATTTCAAGCTCATGAAGAATTATTCCACTGATTTAAAGTGTACTAAAGAATTCGGCATGAAATGCATATTTTCTATTTTTGAATACTTTGATGGCTTCATGTTAAGAGTCAAGTAACCGGGGTCGATTGATGAGCTATTACAACCTGACTCGTGACGAGTCGGGAAACTCGTCTCGAAGTCGAATTGACATGTGGGTGAAGTGGGCCGGAGGCAACTTTGTTTCAGATCACATTCTACTTGCCAAAAGAGTCACTCACAAATATCATAAATGTCTCACAAATATCACTCTCACAATATCACTCACAAATATCATAAATATCACAAATATCATGTTCAGGTTTTGCGTACTCTTTACGTTCCGTAAGATTTTTCCTTATAATTCATTTACTCCTTATTTATTTCTATCTATTTCTATTTCTATCTTGAACATGATAATTTGTTCATTAAAATCATGAGACAAAAAAAGTTGACATCGTTTGAGAAAGAGCATTAGACATCGTGTCGGTTAAGGTCGTCCATTTATTGCGAAAAAAAATCCACCATGCTGTTGGAAGGCGCGCACAGTTATTCTCAAGGAGTTTTGGGTGAAGAATCACCTCAATAGTTTGGAGGAAATTTTAAAAATCTTTAACCTGCAGTCTTTCATATGTCTGCAAGATTTATTTAAATAAGTCATTTTGAAAAGAAACGAATACTCACCCAAAAATTAGCACAAATATAATAATAATAATAATAATAATAATAATAATAAAAGATTTATACCGCGCCAGTATCCTACTGTTCAAAGGCGCCTACAAAAACTTTAACATTAACACTTAAGACAGCTAATATTAATTATAAAAGGCTCTTCTAAAAAGAAAAGTTTTTAATCTACTTTTAAAAACAGACACAGACTGAGCATTTCTAATTTCACTTGGCAAAGCATTCCATAATGTTGGTGCTGCTACAGAGAAGGATCTTGCGCCATATGTTTTCAAGTTATAGGATTGAGAAACCAGAAGGTGCTTGGATGATGAGCGTAGTTGACGCGATGGGGTGTAAGATGTAAGCAAATCACAAATGTACGACGGTGCCAAGTTGTTAAGTGCCTTGTAGGTTATAAGTAAAATCTTAAAAATAATACGTTGATTAACGGGAAGCCAATGAAGATTGAAAAGAACAGGCGTAATGTGATCATGCTTTTTTGTAAGTGTGACGAGGCGCGCCGCGGCATTCTGGACGTGTTGTAGCTTTTTTATAGTGTAGGCTGGTAGGCCATACAAAAAGGAATTACAGTAATCAAAGGGAATTACAGTAATATCAGAGGTATACAAATGTTATTACAAAACCACCCCTTTCACAAACATATTCGTATGCGCAAATATATAATTTTGATGGTTTCAACTTAAATAGGTTTCTAGAATATTACTTATAAGTTTTCTGTGAAGAAAAACCATCTATGTACAGGCTTTCATAAATAATTTTCCATACAATTTTCCGACATTCTTTTTACAGTGTTCTTTTGTTAAAAAGAAAGCCCCTAACCTGTTTTAGAGCTTTTAGATATTTCACTACCTCTACAATTACACCTCGAGCATGCGTTAAAAGTTCTCATCCCAGCCTGAAAGGTCGTCTGGCGGTACATCCATATCCTTTGCATAATGGTCGAAATTTGTGTAGTCTGTGGAGCTTTTCACCTGATCAATATTTAAAATAACACTCTTTAAGCATACAGCATAGAGATTTGAACCAAGAGGTTGATCGCCGTCGAATTAGGTGAACCGTATCAATTTTTAAGGGTGCCTAGGGAGTGCCGATGACGTTTTGAATTCTTAACCCTCCACACCCAAAATCAGTTTGCTTATTCTCCATACTGCTCTCAATACATTTTCTAAGGTACTAATAAGGAGAATTTGCGTAACAGTCAAGAGAATCTTTAGTCGGTGATCATTTCTTGTATTCTCATGACCTTAGTGTTGGATTCAGGAGTGATTTTGTAAGGAGAAATTAGATGCTAGTCTCTCTAAGGGGTTAAAGGGCAGGGGGCGGCTCCAGGATTTTTTTGAGGAGGGGGTGTACCACTAAAAAATGGCGTAACTGACTGGTGACCGGACGTCAACAAATTGTAATAGCAGAATACCACTTGTATTAGAAAGCCGCAGGTCATCTCAAGGGGGGGGGGGTGCGCACCCCCAGCACCCTCCCCCTAGATCCGCCCCTGAAGGGGTAAGCCTGTATCGACCTGCTTCAGGTGTATTCGATCGTGCACTGTGTTGGTGGGAGCGAGGAACAGTTCGCTGAAAACGATTGTTATCTGTGACAAGGAATGTCATCATAAGATTAAGTAAATAGTTCCGTTTGTCGGTGGAACGTCGTTAGTTTAGTTGGTGAAAACTGATTAGTAAGTTTTACGGTGATACACTCACTTCGCGTTTATCATATTTACAATTTAACAGACTAAATGCGACTTGATTCTTACAGTCAATAACAAGCCGCTCTATGTCATATCAAGTACCTTGGGTTTTATTGGAGGTTCAAGGGTCCGCTCCAACAGGCCTTGCCAGTGAAAACCTTGAAACCATCTGAAGAGAAAAATGTAATAACTGAGTTCAAGTTATAATAATATCAAAAACAAATTGAGGGAGAGAAGAAATACGGTACATCTAATGAAACAGGGTCCACTCTGGAAATGAATTGAAAAGCAGAATCCAGGAAGGAACTCCAGCAGTTGTCTGATTTGAGCGATCACAATTATGATTATAGAGAACCGAACGAAAAACGGTCCTGGTACCAAATCACCATGACAAAATTGGAGGAAAAAAATAGCCATCTGTCAAACATATTCCATGATAAATAAAGACACAACAGTTGACTTTCTTACACGACGAAATGTACCTACATAATATGCGAACGCAAATGAAGCGTTAGCTATCCTATTGGTGTGTAAATAAGCCAGGTGTGTTGCTCTTCACCAATCACTTTAGGAATTGCGCTTAAGCTTTAATCAAGTAGAAGAACGAAGGCAAGACCTGATTAAAAGAGTTTCTGTCGTAATGTTTAATATCAAAATTGCGCGCTGGGTCTGTATTATCGTTCATCAAACAAGGGTTTTCTCATCGTCTTTGTGTTGGTGATTTAGTAAATTCTCTGTACTGAGACTCAAGGAGATAAAAAAGAATGCACGTTACTTGTGTTTCTTGACGTCTGTGAGGCCATCTTTTTGGTATCCCAGTCTTTCTGAAGGACTCTCTTTGCAAAGTCTCCTGATGAGATTTTGAGGATTGCGTCCGATCTTTTTGGGAAACTCTACGACATCCATTCCTCGAAGAATGATGTTGTATGTCTTCATAGGATCAGGGCCATAAAATGGTGGACTGTTGAAAGTCCAAACGTCGAGTATCATTCATTAAAAATAGTTAAAGAATATAATCGTTGTTAAGGTTTTGCGCATGTAACTCTTGAGAAATCAAAAAATGTTTTAGTTAAAAGGGTCCTGAATTCGAGAAATTACACTCGTGTTCGGTTGTTTGAAATTTGAAATGAGTAATTATGGTGAGTGAGATATAATGATTAAATTAATGATTGAGCCAGAAATAAATAAAAGATTATCTCTGTTTACTTAGCAATTCGATGAAACAAAGAACTCTATCAAAAATCGAAACTGAACCAGCTAAATCTTTTTAGGAATTTATTAAGCTTGGCCTAACATTCGAACTCAGAACCTCCAGGTCACGAGACCAACGCCCTAACTTCCCGGATGGGCTGGTTCCCGAATATAGAGAAAACGCTAACCTTCCAGTCAGAAACTCAAATATTAGAATTCCCAGAGACCAACAGTCAGCTGACAAGTCATGGCCCTTAAATGAGAGAAAAAGAGTTATAAAAGCCAAGGACAGGGCAGCCACCAGAACAGACACAAAAACAGAAGGGCTGTTAGACAGATTTACGAGGAGATGAATGAATAGGCGGCAAAACAGACTGATAGACAAGTACACAGGTACCGTACCAAGCGGTGAGATAGACAAACAGATAAACAGGTAATTAGGAGGCACGAAGTGAAACAGATCAATCAGCAGAAAATCGAAGGCTGGAGCAGATGTAAATCAAAACAATATCATCAATACTGTCTTTAAAACTCACCCTGTTGAGTATTATCTCTGGCGCTACATACTCAGGTGTACCACAAAACGTCCACGTCTTCCTCCCAAATCCAATTCGTTTGGCGAAACCAAAATCCACCTACACAAAAGCCAAGCGTTATTTATGTTATTTCTTTTCTGCTTTTAAAACTGCTTTATATGACTTAACAAATTATCGGCAGGCAGGCAAGGACGTTATTCACTTTATGTGGATAATTTTGAATTACTTTAAAAATTTTAGTGAGTTTATGATTGAAATTAAAGGCTACGGTAAACTGATGGCAAAAAGTGCACTCTGATCACACTCATTTTTCCTATAAACTTCAATTGAACCTTAGAGGAAAATAGCAAACGTTCTCTTGGTTTTGCGATTAAGCAAATTTTCCCGTCAAAAACGTAATTCTTGGCCTCTTTTACAACCAACGAGCGTTTAGCAGCCACTGCTATGGCCCAAAGTGCTATTTGTGGATTGTATATGTATTTTAATTCAACACAGTCAAGCAAGCAAACATAAAAGCAACTAAATGAAACTTTGAAAATGAAGAGTAGCAAAAACTCAACCTACCAGCTTCACGTATCCATCTTTGTCCAAAAGCAAATTTTCTGGCTTATAAAAACAATGGGAACACAAATTTTTTTTAATACGCCCACTGCACTGGAAAATAACTGCATAAGCTTCCTCTACGTATCAAACGGAATGAAAAAATTATAACTCCAGTGTCTTTGAGTTTTCGAAATAATTAATTCGATCGTTAAAAGTAATCTGAAATTGCGTTGGAATTACGTCTCTTTGCTCTGTGATTGGTCAAGAAAAGTGGCGCCATCCCCTTAGCAAGTCAGTTACCCAGGGGCAAAACGAGAACCAATCGTGACTTCGTCACCAACGCTTTTCCCGCGCTTCAAGGTCGTTCGGCTACTTGACTGTGATGTCTCATCCTGATTGGCTGTGGTGTTTACCTTGGTATTGATCTTAAGATACTCAATCGAAAAGCGCTCCAAAGAATCTACACAGGGTGGGAAGTTAGACACAGGGTAGGCAGTTTGTTACCTTTAAGTCTCTGTAAACAATTCCTCTGGAATGAAGGTACTCGAACGCCTCAACCACACAGGCAACAAAAAATCGAGCCGTAGAATCATCGAAAAACCCTCTGCATAAGAGAGATGTTCAAACTAATAAGGCTAATATAAAGAAATCTTATCGGAGAAAAAACTCCATCCCACAAATAAACACTGCACCTCACGCTGCAGCTAACAGAACGAATTATAAACCTTTTTCAGGGCTTTTAATTGGGCGTGAAGGCAACCAAAAATAAAACAACCTTAATCCAAATGGGACGCCTGGTTCGAAAACGGAAGCAGGGCCACAGCGAAGGAAGGCGAGTGCTTACATCACTTTGTCACCTTTTCTATCGCAATCTTTACTTCTCCACACAATCTTTTTCCTCGTCTTGTTTTCTCTTACCTGTCCCTCAATATAGTCCACAGCTCCCCGCCCAGACAAACTTCCAGCAGCATGTAGAGGTATTTTCGATCCTTGAATGTTCTGTAGAACCTGAGAATGATAGGAAAGATTAAAAGTAATGATAGGAAAATTTAAAGGCAACTAAAAGAATAGTTTGCCATCATTAAGCCCGTAATTTACTATTCCCAGGGTCTCTCATCTTCCCAACCCCTGGAGGGGAGGGGGCGGGAAGATGAAATACCCTGGGAACGAAGTTGCATTTTCCAGAGGAAAATTTCAATTCAAGTCAACTGTTAGGTATTTCGCGTACAGTAAAACCGTTTTGTTCGGTTCCATCATAGTGCCTTACTTGCAAATGAAAGGAGACTTTGCCTGGAGCATGATTTTCTTTTCAGAGTAAATATGTTCTTGTTGTCGTGTATCCAAAATGTGTTTTTTCTTCAGGCACTTCAGAGCGTATGTTTGCTGGTTTTTGACATTTTGGACCTGAAATAGATGATAAGTGTAAAAAATTTCATCGTGATAAGCGACAGAGATTAAAAATTCCCTTCGTAATTCAGTTTCAAATGAAGAAAGAGTAAGTGCAGAGAAACTAAACCTGGGTGGTAGACCGTCCATCATTGAGAGAAAAAGGAGAATATTTCTGTGAACTATTTTCTTAGTCCTGGAGTGCTCTCACATCCAGCTCGCCTCCCCTCTGTAACATTGTCCTTACACGCAGATTTGTTCAATGAAATACCCCGGAGGCTTTCATTAGAGATTTACCACGAAACTGGCGAAAGACTTTCTTCGAAGAAGGAAGCAAGAATTAGAAGTGTCTGTTTTATAGAAATCCTCATCTCGTAAAACTTAACATCCACGCAAATAACTACCACATCAAAGTCATAAATTGCATTAAAAAATTAACTTTTTTTCCAAGGTGTCTCTTTCCCTTAAGGGAAAAGAAGAGACCCTGGAAACAACCATGTACAGCGAATAAAGGGCGTAAGTCGTTACCAATTCCACGCGTCCAAATCCTCCCATTCCAAGAGTAGCGATAACCTCCAATTCATCAAGTGCTAGATCTTCGAATTCCTTGGCAATCTTTTTCTCATCATAGTAACTTCCCTCGGGTTTATCGTTAGGAAAGGCCCTAAAAATAAAGCAAAAGTCAAAATTTTCGAAAGTCACTTTTCGGTTCAATTGCCAAGTATAAATTTCTGTCATGTTGTCGTCGCTAGATATCGTCTGTTATGATTTTTCGTCTTTTTTTAGCTAAGGTTATCAACCACCTGCGGATGGATGAACACTAAGAGACGAAAGATCCTAGACTCATCTCAAAATCTCGAACACGAAAGTTGAAGTCCATGTTATATGGCGTATAACTTTATTGACGTCTCAGGGAGGGGAACCTGTTGAGTGACTCATTAACACCAACACCAAAAATTAGCTTAATAGCGAGATAAAAGTACGAGTGTGAATAGCGAGGGATTTCGAGTCTGTATTACCCAGTGGTTAGAAGCACAAATGGAAAAAAATTGGCGCTACAAATGAATTCTCTCTCCCTCGCGCTTTTCGTTGTCCTTGGTGTATTTAAACTTAAAACACTATCTGCATAAATGGTACTCAGAGACACTAAAAATCAGCTTTTATCAGAAGGGTCCTCACCTCCTAGCCCCTCTTTCTTCGTCGCCATAATCCTTTTTTCTGAGCTCATCGAGGTTACCAATCACAGCCTTGAATGCGCTGAAAGATGTGATCAGACTGGGTACTAAGGACTTTCAAAGCAACAGCCTATTCAGTACTTACAACAACAATATCTACGCCAAAATTCATTTCATTTTACACTTGTGTGGTTTAGCACTATTCACAAAAAAAATAAATGAATAAATAAAATGACGACTGACGTTCTTTCGACAACAAGACATTCCACACCGGGTGATTCAGCGATGACATTGGCTGTTCTGCGGTCTTCACTAAAATAGGAAATAATAAAAGGTACATTACGCAGATCAGGTTGGCAGATTGTAAATCAAGGCAACTTATGACAGTATTGTTGTTCTGCTGGACCAATTGATAAAAAAAATTATTTCCAGTGTGAAACTATTCGTATTTTAATAAAACTTTTTCCTTTGAGCCCTCTCCTTCCACTACCCCCTGCCCACCCCCATAATTTCTCTCTTCAGGTGACTTAAAAACCCTTTTTTTTTTCATTGGAATCGTGGAGGAAACCGCGTTTAAATACCACCAGAGCCGAGCAAGTGGTCGAAATCGCCACCAATGATGCAATTAGAGTTGCATCAAACCAACTCTGCGTAATGGCAGGAAAATTATTCCTTTGGTAGGTAGATTACTGAGTGTGATGTAAGATAGGGTGTGCTAAGTATGCTGGGCATGTGACCCATATTCTATCATCAGTACATGTAGGAAACAAGCTTAACAAACTGAGGTATCAATAAAGGAGACCTCTGAAGGTTGCCTCCGCCATGACAATGTATCAGGGTTATTTTAAAACAGCTCAAAAGAGAAATGGTGCAATCTGCTTCTTGAAAGAAAAAGAGGGAGAAAACTCGTAAGCTTAAGTCTTTATAAATGTTTTAAAATTTACCTCAAGAGAGCTTTCTCGCCAAAGTAATCGCCCTTTTGAAGTCGCCTGACTTCCTGAGGCTCGTCTTGTCCAGCAACCCTTTGGGTGACGATCACCTGATAAAACACACTAAGTTATGTCATGTAACAAGTTTTTTGTTTCAATAATATCATTATATTCAGCTTTATTAAGTTTCTTTTTACCAACTTAGGACACTGTAAATGCATGGAAAATAGCGTAAATAGATAAGGCACCCAGTTGGGTATTTCCAAAGCGAAGTTCCCGAGGGCCTTCCAGGGGAGCCGAAAGAAGAGTGAGCTTGGGAACGAGGTTGATGACAAACCTAATTGAATAGCAGGGTGGAAGATTTCAGCCTACGGATTTAATTATACCGCCCATCAAATCCACTCGGGCACGCTGCACCCACGCAAGACATCGTACATTCGGTCATTCGCGGGCATTTACCAGTTCTAAAATATCCGTCTATGATCCTACAACCATCCAGATCCCAAGCATCTAAGATGCGGTTAAGAGGTAGCTTCTTAAGGAAGTCAACTGCACCGCATGTTGTGAGTGTCCCTTACCGAGCCCTTAGTAATGATATAAAATGTGTCTCCCCTTTCTCCCTCGCGGATAATGAAGTCTTCTCCATGGTAATAGTCCTATAGAAATAAAAAAAGTAAAAATTTAGAAATTTAATCACAATGTCTACCATAACCCGCAAGAAGAGTTTGCGAAGGCGTCGTTTTGATTTTTTCTTTTCTTCTTCTCTTTCACAAATTCAAATGTACGTATGGATGAAATATTATATCGTAAATCGACTTGTCGTTTAAACTGAGTTCAAAGAGCTATGATGTATGCTATCTTACCTCTTCTAAAACATCACCAAGTTTGGCAAATTCCTGATTGGACAAGTTCTTCAAAAGAGGAACGCTTTCGGAGAGAAACATCAAAGATCAGGTTGAAAGGTTTATTGTTTATTCTTACTGAAAGGACATTCATTTCCTTCTCGTGTGAATTAGGAGAAAATTTAATAATCAAGTATAGAAGTTAAAATAAAGTTATACTTAATATGTTGGAGAAATCGGTAAGGCTAGTATTTAGAAAAGTCACGCCAGAAATGGGAGCGAAATCGCTTTTATCCTGAGATCTGACAGTATCTACCATTTAAGAAAATCAGTAACTCATTTCTAACTGACAGAAAATGATGTAAAAACGATGAACATTAGATAAAAATCCTGACTGGAAATTAAGGTCTTTGTTTTTCTTACCTTTTAAGGAACGCGATATGCTCAGCTTGTCTCATCATTCCCGTTCTCATCATAATCGTCTGAAAAACACGACGGTCGATGATCCATAGTTTGGCGTTTCCTAAAGCTGTTGTGTAGTAAGATTTACCAACACTTGGTTAATGGATACTTCGCGAACTGAATGCATTTTCATAGGGTGAACTGACGTAAATTTAGCAGTTTCACGGACCCCTCCAATAGTGAGGCTTCAGGCCAAGCTCGGAAAATTGCAAATGAATAAAGGCTGATAGTTTCCAAANGGGCTGCGTCGGTGGGAGTAACGAAATAATTTGGATATATCAACAAAGTTGAAATGGTAAATTGGCCACCGTAATGATTACAAAAGCTGACGTTTCGAGCGTTAGCCCTTCATTCGCTCCGACGAAGGGCTAACGCTCGAAACGTCAGCTTTTGTAATCATTACGGTGGCCAATTTACCATTTCAACTTTATTGATATATCCAAATTCTTTCGGAAAATTGCACTTTACTCATCTCGATCACCCTTACGAAAACCATCTCTATGAATTTTTGTTTAATTGAGACTGAACACTCAAGAAAAAAATTTTTTTTTTTTTTATGTTTACCTTTTACAGAGGCAGTTCGTTTACAGTTGTACAAGATGGCCAGCTCGCCGAACACAGTTCCACCATTCATTTCACCTAAAACTTCCCCATCCTTGGTTACTTCAAGGCGGCCCTCTATAGAAATAAGGATTACTCTGAAGACGATTTTCTGACTATTTTAATGTCCACCGATTTCAGTGGACAATCCCCATCAAAGAACAAGTTCTCTTTGACAGAGGCGATTATAGCGATGACAGAGCGGGAGAGGAAGGGGAATTAACAGGAAAACTTAATAATTTTTTCAATTTTGACGGTAAAAAGTAGTCGGATTTCACGAAAGCAAAGGGCTCATTAGCTACACATATTAACGACTTACATTTTGAAGGGGTTTAAGAGTGATCCAACAGATTATTAATTTATCCTCTTGAAATTGAACGGTTTTTTCAGTACTAGTACTGTTTTACTGATAAGTATACCGCGACGTTTCGACTGCTATAAAGTTCTGGTATCTGGAAGTTTCGCCCCATTGAAAGTTCGCCCCCTTTCACCTTTGCGAGTTCAGTCGCCAACTAAACTAAGAAAAAAAATTGTCCCAACCTACACCAGTTCGCCCCCAAATCTTTGAACTTGTTTCCTTGCGGCAGAAAGTGTTCCTTATCTACGTCTTACGATCAGATCAAATGATCAAGCGCCCCTTTATATGTCGTATGTTCGTGTGCATTTATTAGTACGTGTTGATGCGCTGTTCCTATTTTTCAGTTTCATTTGGTAGTTCAAGCCCTCGATTATTCATGTGTTTAATCCATATTTCGCTGATGTTATAACTTGAACCTGACTGACCCTAAGACAAATTAAAGGTATTTTCCGTTATGATCCAGTTCCAGATATCGTAACTCACCTGCGATAACAAACAAAGCCTGCCCAGTATCTCCCTCCTTGACAATCATATCACTTTTGCTGTAGTTCTTGGGGTACATACAGTCCACTATCTCACGAACTTGAGCCGATTCTAGGTTCTTCAAGAAATCATTTTCATTGATCGCACCTTTGATGAGTTGCTTAGACCTTAAATCAATAAGAGAAAGACGAATATAGCGCTAGACACAAAAAAAATACCATTATAATAACACTTAGCAATCTTAGCACTACCAGAGATATCTAAAATTAGTTTGTTTATTACCAAAACGATTAACGATTTGACCCTGGCCGATCGACCACGTGATTTTTTTGCATTGCGTAAAACAAACTTGAACTGTTTGGAGACTGAAAAATAACAGCAATATCGAACAAGAATAGAGTAGATTTAGTGAAATTTCAAAATGACGAACATGGTGATAATAATTTTGGCTAAACTCACAAACTACGATTTCGCCCCGTTCGTACGGGGCCCGAGGTGCCAGGCTACCAGCCCTATTAGCCCAGCGGGAGAGAAAGACGTAGGAAACTTTTGTAACAGGGGAGACAAAAAAATCTTTTGTAGAGCAAGACGTCGCTTATTTTTTTCAAAATAAAACTGTGCTCTAACGAAGAAATATCTTAACAAAATTATAAAACCCAATCTTTATTCTTTGTGAAGGAACATTTAGAGTATAGACATAAAATGTTTTCAGCGAAAAAAAAAAAAACTTCCGATGAAAAAGATAAAAAGGGATTGAGGTATTGATATTGTGGAACTATGACTGTGTTAAATAAGGACGGAGTACCTAGGTATCTTCAAAAATAACATAAATAACAAGTCACTTTAAAATCTAACTTGTAATCTTCACATAGGAGGATACAAAAAGTTGCGAACGTTGTCCTAAGACCATCACCATAGCTAAAATAAAACGTTTCCAATCAAGTGCCTTTAAAATTTTCAGGACAAATTTGTCATTTACCAAGAGTCAACTGGTGAACTAATCCAATAGGCATGCCAAATTCACGACGTATTAAAACAAGGTAGAAAATAATTGGACTCGTAATGAGGCTGTAATGATAAGTTCTCTTTTTACATTTGTAATTATTACGGCGAACTATGGCGGTAGTTCCTGTGAAGCATTTAGACTAAAGGGGAAGATCGAAGAAAACTAAAATCAATGCAAAATTTTACGGTTCCCATCTTGTTTCTGCAAGTAGCTAAGGATTTTTTGAAAAATTCTTGACAGCATTAAGCGCATAGTTAGATCACTAAGGAAAAAGATCAAATAAACCCTCGGCATTAACCGATAAAGTAACATTCAGGGACGTTATGAAATTACATCGAGAGCAACAACAAGACGAATATTACCCGAAAGTAAACACATCCGAGGACAGGATATCCGAATGTTAAAATAAAACAGACTATTCGGAAACATGTTGATTTAAGCAAAACCAGGTGAATGATGTAAAACACAGCCATGTTCTATCGAATTTGACAGGACACCTCTCTGTTTGGTTCTCGTCGATGTGCATTACCTTCGAAGAATCCTCGACAATTAAAAAACATTTCACCGTTTGCTGTTACCTTTCAGAATTTCCTTTTAAATTCTAGCCCAAGAAAGTGGGAAAAGCAAACACTTAAATCAAATAAATTGCTCTGGATGATTAATAAACCGACAACAACAGCAACACTCACCGAAAGTCCTTAGGATGGCGTTCTAGTTCTTTCTTTGTATCCTCCTCCGCCTTTGAACTGCTCTCTCCACTCACGGCCATTCTCTTCTCCTTTCGATTGAATCTCATTGCTTGTCGCTGTTTGGAATTTCCACCCGTAATGCTGTCTTCCTGAATAGTAGACAGAATACTTGTCTTGGATATAGTTTGCTGAATGACACATTTCAATTCGTGAATTTCTTTCCGCAGCTTGGCCAACTCGGCATCCTTCTCTTCAATTATGCGTTGCCGATGTTGTAACTCGGCGTCTTTCCGCTGCAAGAAGTCATCTTTTTCTTTCAGTTCTCGTTTAAGTTGAGTTGTTGATTTGGTCTTTGTGGCAGCACTCTGTTGTAATTTCCCGTTTTGCTCGTTCGCACCGCTGTAAGATTGGTTCAAACTCGCTGCGCTCCCCATAGTTTATCTTCACGATTCCCTGCGTTCAGTTTCCCTAACCCAACCCAAGGCATTCTTTGCTCAAAATTCGGCATGTTTGAGTTTACTGCCCGTCTTCATTCTGAACGTTTTCCGTTCCCCTGCTCCAATGAATTCCTCGCAGTTGTTATGTAAATGAGAAATTCGCGTAATCATAGATAAGACTGACAGGTGAACAGGAAAGCTTTCTTACTACGAGTGTGAACTGTTAATAAACACTGACCTAGGACTCTAATTGATTTGAGCAAGCTGCCATTGTTTTCTCGTTTCTCACTGTACACACTAAAAAACAATCAGTAGAAAACAGGGCGGAAAAACAAATAAGCGCTTTAGTTACAGTTCTTTTATTTGTCCACACTATTGGCAAAGCTGGAAAAGAAAATTGGCAGTGCTGTCGATACTAAGTAACCAGACGCAGTGTAATGATCGGTGCACAGAACAAGTTTCATAAAATGTGCGTGCAATGAATAGACAACTCTTTAATTATACTTCAATTTTTCATTTACGGTTTTTGCTTTTAATTATAAGTGATTTGTGTCTGAAAGAAAATGTAAAGCTGCTGCTCTCTACCTTGACCGCAATAAATGAGCAGTCATTAATGGCCAGAGAGCGGATCATGTGTCTTAACGGCACCCGTGGTCGAGTGTTGATCGATGCCAGTGATCGACACTCGACCGACAAATTGACCGAGTGTAGTTGACACTCAATCGACCTGTCGATCGACACTCGGCCGACATGTCAGTCGACAGTCAGTCGATAGTCGGTGAATGGAATCTTACCTTTCGCGGACACTCCATCGAGTGTCGATCGATACTAGCGGTGATCACTCGGTCGACATATCGATCGCGCTACAGTAATGGTCGGCTGTCGGAAACATGTCGGTCGTCTGTCGATGAAATATCGGGCGTCTGTCGATGAAATATCGGGCGTCTGTCGATGATATATCGGGCGTCTGTCGATGAAATATCGGGCGTCTGTCGATGATATATCGGGCGTCTGTCGATGAAATATCGGTCGTCTGTCGATGAAATATCGGGCGTCTGTCGATGAAATATCGGGCGTCTGTCGATGATATATCGGGCGTCTGTCGATGATATATCGG